GAAACCATGCAGCTCAGGCCGGTCACTCACAGCATTGAAAGGACAAAGTCTCCTAGCTTTGACTTGCCCCGCGGTGGCTTGTTATCCTCTCAATCTGACTATCATACATAATTTGGAGTTAGGGAATGTAAACACATATTGTGTAATATTAAGATATTTTTTTAAAACATCCTCATTATTTACTTTTGCATGACTCCTGAACTTCCCCAGCTCCCTCATGGGAAAATGGTTGTTCTCATGCCACTGTGTCCAGTCCTCCAGCAAGTCACAGACGGAGGAGCTATTTGTATGCACATTATGCCACCCCCACACACACACACACACACACACACACACACACACACACACACACACACACACACACACACACACACACACACACACACACACACACACACACACACACACACACACACACACACACACACACACACACACACACACACACACACACACACACACACACACACACACACACACACACACACACACACACACACACACACACAGCTCATTTCACATATAGAGTATACAGAGAAGCTGTCTGACTGATTGTATTTTTTTCTCTTTTCTCATTTTCCCCCCTCTCTCTTATGTCCATTCTCCATCTCAGGAACTTCACTTCTTCACCTCTATTACACGTTTCTTTAGCTCTTCCTCTCCTCCATCTCCAGTCTTTGTGTCTCAGGTGTGTGCTAAGACCTGTGAGCAGTGATGGGGGATTGGAGTCTCCTGGGGAATTTCCTAGAGGAGGTTCAGGAACACTCCACCTCGGTCGGGAAGGTCTGGCTCACCGTCCTCTTCATCTTCCGCATCCTGGTCCTTGGCACGGCGGCCGAGTCCTCCTGGGGAGACGAGCAGAGCGACTTCCTGTGTGACACCCAGCAGCCCGGTTGCACCAACGTGTGTTATGACAGCGCCTTTCCCATTGCCCACATACGCTACTGGGTGCTGCAGATTGTTTTCGTCTCCACGCCATCCCTCATCTACATGGGCCATGCCATGCACATTGTGCGCAGAGAGGAGAAGCTGCGGAGGAAGGAACAGGAGGAGAGAGGGGAAAGTGAAGAAGACCTGGAGGAGGAGAAGGAGTACCTGCAGCGGAAGGAGACCGGAAAAATGTCTTCTGAGGGGACTGTCCCTTTCCGCCTGAAAGGAGCGCTGCTGCAGACTTACATCCTGAGCATCTTGATCCGCACAGTGATGGAGGTGACATTTATCGTGGTGCAGTACAGGATATACGGGGTGTTCCTCAGGGCCCTGTACCTGTGCGAGACCTGGCCCTGCCCCAACCCCGTCAACTGCTACATGTCCCGTCCCACAGAAAAGAACGTCTTTATCATCTTCATGCTGGTGGTGGCCGGTGTGTCTCTGCTGCTGTCTGTGTTGGAGCTCTACCACCTTGCTTGGAAAAGCAGCAGGAGGTGTTTACGCAACAAGAGGCTGAAGAAGAGCAAACACAGAGCTGTGACGGTGTCTGCGTCTCTGGAGCCCAACAGCCCACCTCTGCCCTCAGCCTCCTGCACCCCACCCCCTGACTTCAGCCAATGTCTGGCAGCCAATGGCTCCATGAACCCGTTGACCTCTATGGCCTCTCATCCCTTCAACAACAGGATGGCGCTGCAGCAGAACTCAGTCAACTTGGCCACGGAGCGGCATCACAGCTGCGACAACATGGAGGACGAGGAAGACTTTCTGAGGATGAGATACGACCACGTGCCCACAGAGCTGCCAAACAGCTGCGCACCATCACCTCTGCTGCACTCCGGCTGCATGAAGGACAAACGCCGCCTGAGCAAGACCAGCGGGAGCAGCAGCCGGGCTCGACAGGACGATCTGTCCGTATAGCCGGGGAGAGGAGGGGGATTTGACTTTCAGAACCAAAGAGAAGGGACAAGAAGATCAGTTTAGGAGGTGATTGCTAAGTGAAGGGGTCAGAATGTGAACACAACCTAATTATGCAAACTCTGGCATTGAAGCCTGCAACTTGACTACAGAGGATGGACGAAATGTTCACTTTAGACCCTGAGATATATGTGTGTGGACTATGTGACCTTTACATGTGTAAGCTCTGAGAGCAGATAGTATTTGTGAACCAATCTTTCCCAGTGTTAGAACAACTGAAAACCAAACTGCAAAATAATTTTGAAAAGAGAACAGGGTTAACAGGTGTGATACCTGACTATTGCACATTTTATATTTTTGTTAAAATCCAAAAACAAAAGGAGAGGAAAATATGTATAAGTGAGAATGACATGATGCCTGGACGTGAGATGACTTAGGGAAACCATTTCCTTGGAATGAGAAATATGATACAAATCTTAACTATTTAATTAATTACAGCATTGTTTTTCTCTCCAACTGCAAAAAAATGAGACGCATAGAGAAAACAGGGAGTTAATATAAACTGTGAAGCTTGCCAATACATACTCTAAATTGGATGGTTTTCATCCAGGGCATATGCAGTGCCTTAAGAAGTTTGAAAACATTTTTTTATTTGTTTTCATACACCAAGTTTTTATGTATATTTTCTTTTTCCAAAAGTCAAAGCAGACTGTAAATTCAGATTAAGCCATATTTTGACTTGCTAACCTGATTGCACTACTGTCAGGTCAAGTAAACTGTAAACTAAGAATAATCACCTAACATTTTTAATGACATTTTAATTGTTCATTGTGTGCGTTGTGACAGGATCATCTGTGTGCAGAATGTAGCCTGATTTCTTTTGAGAGAGATCCAGGGGAGAAAGAGCTCTTGTCTGAATGTTGTTATGAGGAGATCTGGCCACTGGGTGGAAACATTGCACTTACGTTTTTCTGTTTCTGTCCTGGAGCCATTGTGTAAATAGTGAATTTGTTCCGATGCAAAATGTATGTTTTAGTTGATATCTTCAAATGTATTCGATTACATTTGCTGTGTCTCTTTTTTATTTTATGTATCATAATTGTTTAGTTTGTTTGTCACAGCAATTTGTAAATGAATATCCACTGCAACTGGGGGTTTAACACATCTACAACAACCAACCACAGACATTGTTTTGGTTCTTCCACAGAGACGTTATGCAATAAACATCATCACTATCCGTTATAAATCAATAAATCATCAACTGTACAATCTACGCTTGTGTCCTCGGATGTGGTAATTAAAGTTTTTCTTAGATCTCTCTGCAACATCAACATAAATAAATCTGTTTTGCAAAATCTGAGAAAAGTGTACTTGATAAGGTGCAAGACCAACTTGCACCATTTTAAAACCTTCATAAATATAGAAATGATTAAACTAAATAACAAGTGGAAAGGACGAAGATGATGAAGCAGTCATTTTTTGATTAGCCACTTGCATTTTCTAGTCTGTTCTCAACGAAAAACATCTACAAGACACATGGAGAGGATGTGCAGTATTGACACAAACAAAGACTGTCTCGTTATCTCTGCCCGGAAACTGAGCACTAATGTCCAATTTGGTCTGTCACAAGCAGAAGAGAGTCAAATACTGAGCAGTCAATGCTGCCTTTTTGCTGCAGATTTGATTCACCTCTGCAGAGTTGCCCTCATTTCATTATCATTGTTTGCTATATATTTGTATTGGATTGACAATACATGGCTTACAAATATACTAATCTTTATTCAAGATAGAAGGTGGGTATTATTCAGTGGTGGTAGCAGTCCGATCATTTACATCAGCGAAAGTCAATAAAAAAGTTTAGGCAGAAAAATCTATTTTCACGTATATTAAGTTTTTGATATTGATAAAGTGACAGTGGTGTAATAAATAGCTACATATGTTTTGAGTCAGAGTAACATATCAAAAATAGGTATATATTATGGTAGGACTACATTATGAAATATGGGCAACCATGGTGGAATGTAACTAAGAACTTTACTCAATTACTGTACTTAAGTAATAATACAACATACTTGTACTTTACTTGAGTATTTTCTCTTCATGCTTATTCATACTTTTACTCCATTACATTATGTAGGCAGGTGTTGTACTTTAGAATCCACAACATTTATTTTACAGCTTCAGTTACAAACTACTTCTCAGATTAAGGTTATCAATAAAAAACACAAATCAATTTATATTTTATTATAGTTTAAGCAATCCAGCATTATATTAAGTAAACCCAACCTTAACCAAGTGCAACAATTAAGTGATGAACACATTAATGCATCCTTAATTTTAATAAAATATTATCAATAAATGTGATTCTGGAATTCTGCATTATGAGCTATTTTTTAAATAAGATGAGATAACATAACATTTATTGATCGCCATAGGGAATTTCAGGTGTCTTACAGTAACAGAAATAAGCGCAAACACGGAATAGGACAGATATGAATTCACATAAGCAGAACAATTATTATAATAATAATAATAATAATAATAATAATAATAATAATAATAATAATAATAATAATAATAATAATAATAATAATAATAATAATAATAATAATAGATATAGCAGTAGAAACAAAGAAATATAATAATAGAAATATAAAATAACTATGTATTTAAAAAGTGACAGTATAAGTGTGTTTTACATATATAGGTATGTATAGTTATGGGATTGTTAAATATATATACAAGTCAATTTTGGTACATTAAATATATTTTATGCTAATACTTTTAAAAGATCTTGAATGCAGCACTTGTGAAGTGCTGACACATAGAGGGCCTGTAGGGGGCGTTAGCGCGCTTTGATGCATTCCTCCACTGTAAAGGGTCAGAGTGAGAGGTGTATGTCGGGAAATGTAGTTCTGTCTTCGCAGCTCTTACCTTTACTTTCATTGTACAATGGCATTGGCTCCCCTACAGTTCCCGACATGTCCTTTGGTTTGAAACTGGGGGAAGACCTGCCGAATGACAAGTGAATATATAATTTACTGAACACTGTTTCTATCGAGATAAAGCAGCAGAACCTCGCCTCAGAAAGTAAGTAGCTAGTTAGCTTAAAGAAAGTTAGCTTTATTGCAACGGTTATGAGCTAGCTAGGATGACTGTTGAGATGGAGGTCAAACTTCCTGTTATCACGATATGTAACTAGCTCGTGTTGAAAGAGTTAACGTTAGCCGGTTTTTTCTTACCGTGCTTCATCACGAAGACACAAGTTCATCCATTTGTGTTGGCTAGCTCAGGATACCAGTACTGAGCCTACAGGATTTAGTATTGTAATGGCATTAACTGGATAATTTCAACGTAATATATACATAATGTTTGTAGTGGTGCTGCATCAACCTCATCACAGTCATTAGAAGAGTTGGTTTAATCCGTTTAACAACGATTACTCGTCTAAACATAATCGTTTCAGTCAAAATACCCCTGTGGTTCCAGCCTCTCAGATTTGAAGGTTGGTTGCTTTTATCTGCTTTTTAAAAATGTATTACTACATTTCTGAAATTGTGTGGAGAATGTGCTTACAATCTATACCAATTGAGAAAGTAATGACTTGTGAAGCCCTCTGAGACAAATAGGATTTGTGATTTTGGGCTATATAAATAAACTTGAATTGAAAAAATTAATGGGCAGCTTAATCTGTATTTGTAGCCACGTGTTGCAATCTTAGCACAATGTACAGAAGAAACTTGAGCTGTTTTTTGCAAGCCTTTCCTGTTACATTACCCAGACTGAGAAATCAGAACCCTCTTTATAAGAGAAGTATATGTGTATGAAACAAATACACTTGGTTTATAAAACAGCCAAGTTATTTCATTCCAGTTTTAGTTGCTCTAATGGATAATAAAAAGGACGCCAAATCTAATCGGGGTAAACATGAACATTGAACTATGTGCAGTTATAAAGAGACAGTACAGTACAGTACAAAACATTTTAATATATTTTCAGTAAGACAATAATTGCAATGGTAGCAGGAATACATATGCAATGATTAACAGAATAAGTTGCTTTATGAGCTGGGTGGATATGACATTACACGATGTGCATAGAATTGTATTTGAAGGTGATAACATTGTTGAAAATGCATGTGTGGTTAATTCAGACATTGATTAACAGAAGAAGTTGCTTTATGAGCTGGGTGGATATGACAGTACACGATGTGCATAGAATTGTATTTGAAGGTGATAACATTGTTGAAAATGCATGTGTGGTTAATTCAGACATTGAACAAAGTGTCTGTTTTGTTCACAGCGCAGCCATGAGGAATCTTTGGACCAAAGCAGGTGTTTTTGGTTCGGTGTCGATGGCGTTTGGTTCCATGCTGTGGTCACAGAAAAATCCTGACTCGGACCAGGCCAGTTCCCCCTCTGGTGAAACGAATCCCAGTTCTTCATACGAACTAAAGCTGGTCCAAGTCCTGTTCCGACATGGTGCTCGAACGCCGCTCAAGTCAATTCCTGATGTGATGGAGGTAAATCTCTTAATTATTTAGCACTCGTGGCTACAAAAAAAGATGTAATGTCACATCAAATCTTAATATATTATACTAATTATTTCTCTGGACACAATTGTCTTGCCTAAGGCCCAATGGGTGCCAACGCTCTTGGAGCCTCCAGCACACACCCAGATCAACTATGAGGTGACGGATCTTGACGGTGGCCCCAGGCCCCCGGCTCCTGTAGAAGATAGCTATCGGAAAAACATCCTGAACGTGAGTAATCAGAATCAGAATAGCTTTATTATTTATTATATATTATCTGTTATTCCCCAGGGTCGTAACAGTCCCACAGAGGGGAAATGTACGTTGTTACAGCAGAAAAAGAGTCACAGAGAGCTTAATGTTACATATGTTACATGCTTTAAAAAGTATTAAAGTAAAAAAATAAAAAGTTATGATATAATAAAAATAAAAAGTTACACAATTTACAAAATACACATCCTGTAACAGTTCTTAGGATTTAAGTGCTCCCTGTGGAGGAATGCTAAGGAACAAGTTCAGGTGCAGCAATTTAGCTTGTACCTATGTGAGGATAATAGCCCAACACATTTTCACAGCAGACATTTAGACCTGTAATAGCTAGAAAAGTGTCATTTAGTTTAGGTGTACCTGTTCCAAGGCTTTAACCGTGTTCAAATAAGTTTTCTTAAACACTTACTGAGACAAAGAGCTACGTCTGAGCTTTGTCTGCAACACAATTTAGTGTCTGCTTTGGTGAATGCCTATTGTTTTTATGTGGCTCTGTATAATCAGGTACTGACAAGTGATTGTGTATTAAATCCTTTTTATACTCTGTGTATTTCAATGTTCTTCCCTTAGATGTGAAGAAACTTGTGGATTCAGTATTCTTTCTCCATCTAGTGGCCACTAGGATTCATTACCAAGCTGCACAGATGACATTAAAGCGAGTTCATTCATTAAACTCCTCTCTGTTACGCTGCTGGACTGTGTAGAGCCTCCTAGTGAGATGTGTGTGCCAGCCACTGTGTCCATATAAATGATCGTTTCCTGTGCTGAGTTAGCTCCTTTGCTAAAGAGGTTTACTGCACTGGATTTAGCTTAGAAAACTAAATCCCACAATATGGACTCGGGCCATCCTTGTACCACATTCTCTCTGAATTCCTGGATGCGATCGCAGGTGTGTGTTTGTTAGGCCACATCTGTGAGTTAAACCTGGTCGTGTTTGTCGCTCTTGGCAGGGTGGCTCGTTCCCCGGTCAGCTGACCACCGTGGGCATGCAGCAGCTGTACGAGCTGGGCAAGAGGCTGAGGACGAGATACGTAGAGAGCTCCTTCCTCAGCTCCACCTTTAACCCAGCTGAGGTCTAGTAAGTGTTCCAAATCATGAAGGATAGCAAGGATATAAACACTTTTCTGTACACTATGGAGTGCAGTTTAAAAGGATATCCGTCTAAATGGCTGCCGTCCATGACCTGTTTTTTCCATTTTTAGTGTACGCTCTACTAATATTGTGAGGACCATTGAATCTGCCAAGTGCCTGGTAGCAGGGCTGTTCCAGCAAAAAGAAAAAGGTAGGGTAAAAATCCATATGAGCATTATGTCATTTTTCTATTCTGCTACTTATCTAATGTGTTTGTGAATTGTTGTCTTCTACTTAAAGAAATTGTGCCTATATTCACAACGGCGTCAGAATCTGAAATCTTGTATCCTAACTACCACGGATGCAAGCTGCTGAAAATCCTCGCCAGGTTTGTAGACTACATCTTTATTCCAGGCATCGACCATCCTTTGCACTCGCTGTCCCAAAACTGGACTCTAGCGAGATAAATGTGTTGTGCAAAATTATTAGGCGAGTGGAGATGCCTGTGACAGGTTGTCATGGTGTGTCTGTGTTTTGTGGCTGACACTGTGTGTTCTGTGCAGCCACCGCTGGGCAGAGTCATCCACTCTGCCAGACATCGCAGCCGACCTGCAGAGCATCCAGAGCGCGCTGGGCATCGCCGCTCACCAGCACATCGACTTCATCCTCATTAGGGACGACATGGTTGCCAGAGAGGTGACACCGCTGCATCCTGATTCGCATGACTTTTATTAGGTCTCACCACAAGCTATCCGAATACATATGATTATTATGAAGACATGGCCTGGATGGAGGTGGCAACCCAGCATGATGCTAGTTATGCAAAGCGTATCTCAACAACAGCGTTCATCTGGGTCAAGACATTTTAACAAGCTAAGATACCAGATTCAGCATGATTTGAGTTTGAGCAGTTGTGGTATTTACTAATGAAGATATCATAAGGAGAAAATGAATTCTTAAAATGTCTTCAAAATTAATTAACGGGTGATGGACTACATTTCTCTTTCCATTTTCCATATCGGACGTCAGAGGGGCATTTTTTTTTTCAAATGAGCTTCTCTAGATGAAAATGAACGCGTGGGTGGCTTCACTTTATTCCTTTTTTATGAATTTACTGATCAATTTTCCCCCTCAACAGCCAAAGCAAAACACTGAAGCCCTAACTAACATTTTGTCTTATTTTATGTTCAAATCCACTTAATATCAGTTACAACTCATTCAAACTATCAGCCGTAACTAAAGCAGCACATTTTACAGTCAATCTATACTCTACTTAAACAGAAAACAAAGCTTCTGGGGGATTTTACTGTCGCAGCTTAAACATTACTGCAAGTCCCCATCAATAGACATGTTGAAAGTTCCCTTTCTGTAGTTTGTGTTGCTCACAGCAATCGCTAATAACTGACTGTGTCCTGTCTCTGCACATTAACAGGTGCACGGGCTGCCCTGCCCATCAGTGCTGGACACCTGGAGAACCAAAGTGGAGCAGAGAGCTGTGGAAATGATCTGCCATGTGTATGAACCCAGCAAGAGGTACACCATTATGATTTAGAATGGAGGCTTTCAAAGGGAAAGGGCCTCCACACAGTTTCAGGGGATGCACCTATTTTCAAGCTCTGTCAAAGAAGGCCACAGTCCTGGAAAACCATTTGTTTTGAGTTCCCCTTTATATCTTTGGCTGTTTTTTTGCAGGGAGAACTTGCAGCTGTGTGTGGGACCCCTCATGCATAAAATGTTAGCCAACATTGAGGGGAAACTACAGGGCACCTCGTCCGAGCCAAAAAGGTTAGACACCGTTTTGTTTCCCATACTTCTTTGTGTTTGTTCTTCAAATGACCCACTTTAAATTCCTCCTCTCAAACAGGAAGCTGTTTTTGTACTCTGCCCATGACACCACTTTGATTCCCTGTTTGATGGCTCTGGGAATCTTTGACATGAAGTGGCCACCATACGCCGCTGACATCACTGTGGAGCTGCACCAACACCGGCAGACCAACAAGCCCTTTGTTAAAGTTTCTTACATAGACCAGGTAGGGGTGGAGAATGTGTCTACGTTTATTTGATAAGCTGTTGCATTTCTTCCTATCGTTAACTCTAAATTGCTTATCTTTCTGCAGGATCAACTAATACCAGGCTGTAGTGGAGTGTACTGCCCACTGGATGAGTTTAAACAGGTCCTCTCATCATACTCTCTGAGCTCTGACCTCTACCAATCACTTTGTAATAGCAAAGAGGACTCAACCAAACCATAAACCTTCAACCAACTAACACTGTGCTACTCACAATATTACACTCAAACAGGTAACACACATCATGATTTTCTTCATTTAAATCCTCCATTCTCACTCCTGCCACCATGGAAAACTTTCTTGGGTGTACAATTCCTTTTACATTTTAACAGTTTACATAACACTAAAAAGTATTACTCTCCTCTTTTGTTACCATGGCAGTAAAGTGTTCAATAGGTAGATTAATTAAATGGTTATGGGATATTGACAATTGTAAGTGTTAAACCATTTTTTGTTCAGTTCAAATTTGCATTCACTTAATCTGATTGGTTTGAGAATAAAGGCACACTATTTTAAATATGTTTACCAAAGTAAGCCCTACTCACTGTACCGTCATCAATCTTTAAAGGGAGATGACAAAAACATTCATTTCTCAAAAGTATTTGCTAGATCAGCAGAACACTAAACCAGGAGAAATTGCGCATTTGTTATGGACCATTTCAGCTGTGGATTAATGGAAATGTGCTATTCTAGGGAGTATTTACTGTAAGTACACAAGGTAACACTCCTGTACGTGTAAAATAGTTTTTAGACAACATGGGAATTATATCGTATAGAGGAATAAACTATATCAGGGTTGCTTACACAGTAGGATATATTGTTTAGTTAGTTGCAGATTTGTTGAAAAGGGAAACATACAGATAAGTATCAGCCTTAGAAGTTCAAACCGTTGCTACAGTTTACTCTTGCACTCAAATAAGAGTATTACCTTAAAGGTTAACCAAGGTTGCACCAATAGCAGTATCTAATTCTGCCAATTTGGTTGCGTTTAAAGTGGACCTATCATGCTATATTTAAATGATATATTGTAGGGCCATACCTATATAAGGTATATTTATGTTTCTGTTTTCAAAATACCAAACAGATCATGCATTTTAGCCATACCTCATTTCGCTCTATTTGCTGTTCTCCAGCACTGTTTTTGCACGGGGCTGATTCTGTGAGCTGCAGCTGACCACGCCCCCCTGCAGGAGAGGGGAGCCGCTCTGATCAAGTCAGAAGAGGGGGAGAAAAATAGATCTCCGTCCTCCGTGTTTTATTATATTGTTATAGGCCTATAGAGTCGTTATTCATTTGTTTTAAAGCTCAATAAATAACAAAGAAGACCTTTGACCGGCACTTTTCTAATTTTGTCCGGAAGATTTAAACTTCAACGGACATCTTGACCAGCGAAAGAAAACCTAACTGAAACTCTGCACCACGGTCCCCTCGTTCCTTGGAAGAGGCGGAGAGGTGGGTGTTTGTCATCTGCTGGTGGACTAACCGGAGAGAATTACAGTGCTTGCCTCGACGGGGAGGGATTGCATTGAATTAAAGCAGCGGGAGCAAACGCTTGCCTCGGGGAGGGAGAAAAAAAGCCACAGCGGAGAATAAACAGCAGGGTAACCATGGTAACCATGCACGGGAAGTCTTCTTCGCTGCTTTTGTGGCAGACTACAGCGCCATTACAGGCCTGGCATATGTACTACAGCGTCTCCAGTGCTTTGGCCGGCCGTGGCCCAACCCCCTGATAGGTGGAGAGTTGGCCCAATAGCCGTAGCGCCACTTTCCTGACCAGTAAAGTGTTCAAATCTGGATCAGTTTTTATCAGATCCGTTGCAGCCCCTTTTTTAGAGATTTGGGTATGGAGGAAAATAGAGAGGGTTGTGTTTTCTGACACTTGGTGAGTTCCCTGGAACACCGGGGACACATTCATGTATAAAAGACGTACAAAAGTGCATTTTGCATGATGGGTCCCCTTTAAATCAATTATTTCACATTCAAACCTTGAATTCCTCAGAGGAATACTAAGCATTTCATGTACTCATGTTGAGGATTGTACTTTAGTGTTTAGGTCACCGTCTTCATGACCATGTAGAATCTGCAGAAATTGAATAGTTATGCTACTGTGTGTTTAAAGAGTGAAACATTAGTTTGCCTTCTTGTAGGATGTGGTGATACCATCAGAACACAGTATAATGTATGAATGAATACGTGCCCATTATACTGTATATAATAACACACATTGTAACTCATCAGCGGGAGTTTCCCGTGACCTGCTGCTCGAAATATAAAGCTTTGAATTTGCGAATAACTAAAAGACTTTGATCAATGAACGTCTCTTTTTTTTGACTATCGAATGAAAACCTTTATACTAATCCTACCAGCTATGTAACACTTCAAAACAAATGCGAGTGAAGCACAACTAGTTTGAGTAGAAATGCATCAACATTCTTGCATCTATTTTATATTTCATAAGTGTGGTGTCCTCTGAATTGGCTCCTGATATAATGTCAACTCGGCCACGCTGCTTCACGGTATGACTTGCTCTCTTTGTTCCAGCTCAATGCTAAGCTGTTTTGACGTGTAGAATGACAAAGACACCACCTGGTCCACATCACTGACTATAAGTGAACAGACAATAGCCAAATGGTCCCATACATGCTCACACACACACTCCATAGACAACATGTATATACCAAAACAATATCTTTTATTTGTAGTCCATCACCACAGCCCTGGTAGGCTATTCTGCACCAAAGCCAATGGAGAAACACATGACAAGCTTATACAATAGAGAAAAAGAGAGGAAGTCAACTGGATGGTAAGCAGTACGTGTTTACAGTTCTGTGTCTCACTCTGGACACCACACCCGCCTCACTACATTTTTACCAGATCTACCTAGCTCTAGTTCTATAATACCTGGCATACCTGCTGTGGTATTCAGCCACTCATGTCCCATTCTGCTGACCTTTAGGGGGGATTATTGCTTTGGGAATGATTATTACCCAGAGTCAACAAGAGTCGAAACGAAACAGAGACACAACAGGGACAAGAAGAACACACATAGCACATCTGGGTATTAGCAGTATTATTCACGCTGGCGAAAGTTGAGTCCTGAAAGTTTTGGAGCACCAAGTCAAATGTCATCAACAATTTGAAATGGACTGGGGATTATCATTGTGCTGCAAAGCTGCCAGGATCCTCACGCTTAATGTGTTGCTCTCAATGGTAAAAACAAAGAAAGAAGACGCTTTCTGCAGACGGTCCATGTTTGTGCTTTTTTAATAATACTATTATCTTAATGAGGTCATAGTTTGGTTTGTTATACACTGGAGTTACAAAGGAAATTAAAATAGACTAAAATTCGAATAGCCCACCAATGGTAAACAGTACAGTATTTTTAGGGGGCATTCCTCCCCCAATGAAAGTTGGGCAAGAGGAGTTGAGAGGTCACTGATAGAATGCCTATACATACAGACACATACATACATACCACACAAACATACAGTCTGTCAAGCACGCACACGCACACGTATATACTGTACAGAAACAGTCAAAACAATGGAGCGAGAGACAAGATGGAGTTCCACTAAAGTCTTCACAAAGCACAAATTCTTCTTATTCCTTTCTCTTGTTCCATACCACTTTCGTGACAAATTTGTTTTTTTTAAATTTGAAAAAAGTAGACATATACTGTAGCATTGCCACGCTGACTTTGAGTTAGGTTGATTCCATTTGATGTTGAAAGTCATCTTTATAGTCAGATAATCAAAAAACACAAGAACATTGCGAAATTGATGCACAACAATCCCATACATTCTTAAGTTCATGAGTTAAAGTTCATGAGTTAAAATTCAATGTTCTTGTGGCAAAAGTACTCCAATCCTGTTTGAGTCTACCTTGGAATAGTTCCCACAGGAGGTTACTAGGAGACCGGTTAGCTCCGTTCTGTTCGCTTCTCGGTACATCCTGTCTCCTTTTATACCTTTACTTGAGTCCATCAGAGTTTTCTCCACATCCTTGTGTTTTGTCCAAGAACATTCTACATACAAGGTTTCTGTTGGATTAGAACATTCCGGGGCCCGGACTGAACCCCATGTCCATGTCACGAGGCCTCATCTGGCCCCCCATCATCATTGTCTGCTGTGGGGGGCCGCCCATGCCCTGCAGTGACATCATCATGTTAGGTGAGCCACCAGGGCCGGGGTGGGCCATTTGTCTCCCCTGCATCATCCCTCCTGGACCCCCAGGAGACATCATCCGGTGCTGGGGGCCCATCATGCCTTGGCCCATGAATCCTGGAGGCCGCATTGCGTTGTGTCCAGGGTTGCCCATTGGCATGTCTTGGGGGCCCATTACGCCGTCAGGACCTCCTGGCATCCCCCCCATCCCCTGCATGGACATCCCCATCCTCGGTGGGCCACCACCCATCATGCCCTGCATGGGGAAACCAGAGGGGTGTGGTTGTTTCCCCCCAGGGTTGTCTCCCCCACCTCGGGGGAAGTAAGACAGAGTCTGGCTGGGCTTCTCTGACGGCATTATCCTGGACAGGTCAAACTCAGGAATGCCGGACGCTCCCGGCCGCATCACCTCATGAAGATCTGCTTCACTGAACCCACCCTGCATGCTGCTAAACTCTGGCCCTCCAGGGTTATTCGGCTTGCACATACCCCCATCACCCCCTCCCCCGTGAGACATGTTCCCCATTCGTCCTCCCATAGGTCCTCCATCTCCCTGGAATCCCATTGGATGGCCAGGAAAACCTTGTGGACCAGGACCGTTGTGCGGGGAGAAAGGTCCCTGATGGGAAGGGGACTGCGTGAGGGGGTAGCCCTGGCCTCGGTGAGGATAACCCATACGTCCTTGGGGCATCATTTGGGGGTTTCCCATACCGGGGTCTTGGGGATTTTGTGGCATCATCATGCCATGAGGCATCATGCCTGGGCCCATATTAGGGGCATTGGGAGAGGGCATCTGTTGGGGCATGCCATGTGAGAGAGGCTGGGATCCCATTGGATTCATTCCCAGAGGACTGAGGGCAGACATTGGTCCAGGGTTTCCTGGTCCCATCATACGAGGATTTCCTTGGTGATTCATTACCATACCTGCATGCAAGAGAAAAACAAGTGATTATATATTCGCAACATGCTCTTTAGAAGCAGATCAAAGTGAAATAAGTATAGATATGGTCCAAGGTGGTTGAAAATGAACATACAAATTAAACAAACAAAAGATGTATCAGATGTCTTACCATTGTTGTTCACTGACGGCAGGTTAGGTGAGCGAGCCGGGGGCGAGTCGTCATCAGAGCTGGCAACAGTCTTTATGGCGTCATGATAGAGCGGGGTGGAGCTGGGCATTGCAAACTTGGACATGCGTGACATCATGATGGAGAGGGGGTTCTGGGATAGAGTTGGCTCAGGGGGTATGTTGTACGGACTGCCAGACGGGACGTTGCCTGGATGTGACATGGAGCCAGGTGGAGCCCCTGATGAAGGAGGGGCTGAGGGAGGGCCGTTACCACCTAGAGGATGGCAGGATGGGAGAGAGAGAGAGAGGACTTTTCATTCTCTGGTAGATTGTTTTTTGTATCTGTGATGATGTGTAGTGTGTGTGGTAGTTGAGGCTCAGTGAGATTAAAATGTTGTGCCACAAGAGGGAGCTACTGGACCAGGAGCCAGCCAGCCCCACCCCTCATACAGATGTGTAAACTTCCTTTAGAGAGGCACTTGATGATAAATACCCTCCACAACTCTTTTACTAGTGCTTTTCAGTATTGTAGACATATTCGGATTTAAAAGGATTTAAAGATGGAGGCGACATGTTTCATGGGATATTTACCACCACTTACATTAGTGACTAAAATGCAATAAAAACACATTCAACATCAATTTGATATCAACTAAAATCAATCAAAAGCTAAATATTAACTTAATTAAATTGAATGAGGATACACAGAAAAACTATTCAAATCAATGGCAATTCAAAAAGGACAAAAGTGGAGATAGAGGTGATGCTGAACACAGATAACAATAGAAAAACGGTTTTACCTTGATCCATGCCTCCCATCATGTTTGGTGAGGTGATATTCAGGGGAGGCTTACCCCCCTGAGGCTGGACTCCAGGACTCTGCATGGGTGGTTTTGGTGAGGATGCCCATCCTGGAGAGGGGTTAGGAAGAGACGGAGACCTCATATGAACAGGAGAGGCACCAGCTGATCCCATCATGGAGTGGGGGGATTTCATTGGTGCTGAATTTTGTTGAGGTGGAGGGGCATTCGGGCCGGTGGGACCAGTGAGCATGCCAGCCAGCTGGGACGGAGTCTGGGGGGATTTAAGGTTTCCAGAGGGAGAGCCCATCATGGGGGACTGTACTTGCCTCAAAGGAGGGGACTTAAGAGGGTTGATACTTGGAGAGCTCCCCCCTCCTGCTTGGACATTCAGATCTGCTGGCTTGCGGCCCCTCTGACCTTGTGAAGGGCCACCACCAGGGGGGAGGTGGTTCATACGGCCATTGCCTCCTGTTGGTGCAGATCTGTGGTCTGGACCAAAGCCTGGGTCTGTATGTGGACCCCTCATTCCTCCTGGACCCCCGGGGAAGGGCCGCCCAGGCCCCATAGGAAAGTCTCCTTGCTGCTCGGAGAAGGGAGGGCCCGGCATTGGTCGGCCATGTGGACCCATGTTCTCCATTGGAGGTCCTCCTCTCATTCTCATGATCTCATCAGGACTCATATTCATGGAGGGATCTCGTAGCTTGGAAGGGTGCATATGAGGTCCTGGCCCAGGGCCGGGCCCCATGCCAAACTCAGGCCCCATTTCCCTTCCCCCCATTCCCTGGAGCCTAGAGGATGGACTCATAGGACCATCCCCGGGCATTCTGGGAAACATGCCCATGCCATTACCAGGTTCCATACCACCTCTTTGGTGCCCCATCATTCTCTGCATGTCCATCATCATGCCTGGAGGGAGGCCCTTCTCCCCCCCCATACCTTGGTGAAACATTGCCTCTTGAACTGACTGAGGATTTGGGAAACGTTCACCACGACCCCCTGGACCAGCAAACATTGGCCCGGGTCCTCCAGGGAAACCTCGTGAATCTCCCATCCGGGGTGGCATGTCGTCAGGCCAACCCATTCCAGGCCTGGGGGGTCCGTCCATCTCAGGGTTCATCATACCAGAAAAGCCAGGCATCCTCTGCATATGTGGGGGCATACCCCTGGGGCCGGGGCCAGGACCAGGGCCCATGCCCATGCGCTCCTGGTAGTGCTCCGGTGGTCCACCTGGTCCTCCCCACATCTCCCCAGGGCCCATCTGGTAGGGAGGCGGGGGTCCTCGCATCATCCCACGGGGACCATGGGGGTGCATCATCATGTCTGGAGGAAGGGGCCGGTGTTGCATTTCTTGTTTCTTCCTTTTCTCTTCATAAAACTCTTGCTGTAGCTTTAACCAGGCCACCTGTTCTGGGGTCATCTGATCCCCGTCTCCACAGCCCACTGGACCCCCCATGTGTGGACCCATGTCATCCTGTGGGAAGGGGGGCATGTCCCTGGGACCATGGGGTGGACCATGTGGTGGGCCAAAGGGGGGACCTTGGGGTCTGGGTCCTCCTGGCCCACCTGGTGGTCCGAGGCTCTGAGACTGCGCCATCATAGCCTGCAGAGGGCCTTGCTCAGATCTACGCGGGGCACCGTCAGGGCCTCCATCATGGGGTCCTGGATGGGATTGTGGGGGCCCACCTGCTGGGGCATCACGGTCATCGGGGAAGAGCATGCGCTGAATATCGCGCAGGGTCTGCAGGGAGCGCTGGCGATGCTCCAACTGTTCTTGGGACAGACCCTCTGTGTTGGCCTCCATGTTCAACAGCTCCTGGGCCAGCTGCTGTTGCTGCTGCTGCTGCTGGGGCGTCAGACCTGCTCCACCAGAACCTCCACCAGAACCTCCACCAGCACCTCCACCAGCACCTCCACCAGCACCTCCACCAGAACCTCCACCCTGCCCTCCTTCACCTACTGGTGGAGGGTTGAGGCCTGCCTCAGGTTGGGTGACGGGGGCCTGGTCGACTGGAGCTATAGCGTTACTGGGGCTACTGCAGGGAAGATTTTTGGATTCCATGCCTGCAGAGGACGGCCCTTCCTGCGTGAGAACACCGGATTGGCTCCCTTGGTTTGAAGGCTGGGGGGGGGCTGGCTCTGCCATGCCAGGTAAGGACGGCTTGGATCCAGGCTGGTGGCTCTGATCTTGGGCATGGGACGGGGGCTGCTGGGGAGGCTTGGAGTCATTTCGGAGGGCGCTTGCTGCATTGTTCTTTAACAGAGAGGGACAAAGTAAGGATTAGATTTCGACACTCTAATGCAAGATGTAAGAAAGCATATATATATGTGTGTGTGTGTGTGTGTGTGTGTGTGTGTGTGTGTAAAAAACGTAAGTGTGTCTTTACCAGAAGGTGAGCTTTGTCCTTGCTGTTGGAGATGTTTTTCATGTGGAAGGCAATGATGTTTTCTGTATGGCCAGTTCGAACTGCATCAGCCGCTCTGAGGACGAAAAGGCAGACAGACAGATATCAGTCATCAGAAACAATAAACACGTGTGCGTGCGTGCGTGTGTCGGTGTGTTTGCCCTTTGAGAGAAGGTGAGCCAGATGAATGAGTGCTAGATTTAACCATGAAGGTAAAACCAAGGTCAACCAAGCAAACAAACTACTGCATCCACACACACACAACTTCCACAGAGCATCCACTTTGATGTCTACTTCTCAACAGGGTGTTAATCTAAGTGTATCCTCCCACTGAGAAACACACATGCTCGTGCAGATACACACATTGGATTTAGGCTATAACCGGGAAAGTTGGGGGACGGAAGAGAAGTGGTGGGAAGCAAGTATACTATACACACAAACAGCTGCAACAAACATCAAAGACAACAACAAGCACTGATGACGGGGGCACAGAGATAAACTTCAGGCAATTGACATTGTTAGTGATTCTATTTACATTTTAACTGCAATTCCACAAAGGGTTTCACTGTGGGTGTATGTTTTGCTTATGCAAAAAAAAAAGGGGGTTCAAGTAGAGAGATGATGATTTAATTATCCTGCCTAAATACAAATATTTAAAAAGGCATAAAGATGAGCTAGAAGTAAATACTCATCATAACTAAACAACGGGGATGCATAATATGGATTTTCTTTCAGATTCCTTACTTGTTGGCCATCTCTGTGGTGAAGACATAAACAAGTTTTGTGGCCGGTTTCTGGCCGCCGGCAGGTTCTGTTGTGGAGCTCTGGCCTCCCATTGTATTGTGGGAAGGCGTGGAGGAGCGACTGAGTCCGGCGTTGGAGGTCGAATGTGAGACGGAGTCCTGGGGCTTCACGTCACTGGAGTTACAGTCTACAAGGACACAACAGAGCAGAGTATTAGGACCAACACGGGCCTATGGGTAATGCAGTTCTACTGAGGTGCTGTCATAAGTCAAGTTGATCAGCGCAGGGACTGCTATGCATGCTTGGATGCACACGTTAACACACTTACTGAAGAATCCTTTGTCATCTTCGTCACTTTCTCCCCCAGAGCACCAGTCAGCTCCACTGTACGGCTGCCTCCTCTCCGCCACACACATCCTCTTCACCCTGCTGCTGTCTGCACACACACACACAACCACCAGTGGGCCTGGGTTTAACTATGTTTTTAAGATTCCATCTGACTGTTGCCGTTTGTAGACGAAGAGACAACTAAAAACTAAATGTACAGCACTTTTTTTTTTAAATGAAGTTATGAAGCGATACATGATAAAAGGAGCACAGCAAAGACCAACCAGATGCATTGCAGCAACAATAACACAAGCACTGCAGACATGATTCTATTAAAGCACTGTAGTTGTTCTATATATCCCGAGCCATTCAAAGCAGCTACTAGGGACTCTTTAAAAACATGATAAAAAAATTGCCCCCCTTAATTAAACTACTTTACAATTCTGGTGAGAATAAAAACCTGATTCCAAATAGTCTCAGAAATTGTAATTAATCCTCAAGATTGGCTGTAGCACTTCACAAGAATGATGTGACAATGTCTGACAGCATTAAGAGAGGATAAGGTAATAATGATCGATTGCTACCGTAGCATGGTTCTTACCTTTCTCCTCACTCGTGGGCGTTCCGCTCTCCGGCTGATCGAACGACTCCACCGAGGTGCTCCTCTCCCTCTTGACTTTAACCTTGGAGCTGGAGCCAGAGGTCAGGCCCTGGCCGTTCTTCAGCCCCATGCCCCCCGACACATTCTGCGGCCCTTTGGAGCCAAGGGTTTTGGGGTCGCAGGGGGAGGGCTGTGATTGGCTACCAGTGCTCCCTGGTTTACTCTGATTGGGCATTTTAGAGTCCATCTGGGTGGCAGTGGAGGGGGACATGACGGGAGGTGAGCGTACCATGGCCTCCGTCTTAGGTTTAGGGCTGACGGACAGAGGAGAGAGGAAAAGATAATGGGCAAAATTAATGGAGGAAAAAGACGGAACTGTTAAACCCAATGCTATTATGGCGTCCAGCTTTTGGTAGAAGAACACTGTATAGGGTTATTGGGAATTCCTTTTGCGCAGTTAAACCTGAAGGCTGTAGAGACACAGGCCATGTAAAAATGGCTGCTGCTTTCTAGTTATAAGAGCCTTTAGTTCAGGCAACAGGACACATCCAACTGGCAGAGAACTCCCTTACCACACCCTAATCACTCTCTCTTTCTCTCCAACTCTTGCACACACACTTGTACATGTAGCATGAAACAAATGCCAACATGTCCAAAAAAGCACAGCCGCAGCTTTGCACACTTTGTACATTGTATGTACATTCACAAAGACACACAGTTAGTAGAAAAATAAGGCAAAGCTCAAATGTTGGCAGTCCAGACAGCTGTTTCCAGAGGATCCAGAACCATGAGTCAGCAGGGGAAACTTCCAACCTCAGTGTACTCTCTGACCCTGGGACAGCTCTGGATCACGCCTTGAGACCTTTCAGGTAGCAGAACGGAGTGAAGAGGCTGATCTTAGATCTGCATTACTTTGACCTACAGAGGCTTTCTAAACAGCACAGGTAGCACAGGCCTATAAGACTTGGTTGCACTGCTCATAACCTACCATACACACTTGGTAACATCTTGCCATGATAGCTAGTGTTGACACTTTTAAACAGGAAGGTCTCAGCCTTTAATCGATGTGTGTGAAGATTGCACATTTTCTCAAATTAACATGAGCTTTATCCAGGTCATCCGATTCCCACAGAAAATAAAGACTTGCAGGCTTTGCAATATAAAGCATTTAGATACTGACCAGTGCTTACTATACAGGGATAATAAAAGTGTGACAAAAACCAAATGCTGCCTTAGAGCCACGCCTGAAGTCTTCTGCATCAGCTTTTTAAATGCCAAACCCAGCACATTTTGCAACTTGCAACTAACAAGGTATGAGAGTTTCACAACATACACTGGGATGCACTCATCACTCTGCAACCAGCCAAAGGACGGCCTAACTTGGCATGTTTACATCGCTAAAACGCAAGAACATATTACATTTTGAAAGAAAATGTAAGTAGTCTCTTTGTTTTTGTTCAAACATAGACCTGCTATTTTCTTTTACTTCATTCAGTTTTGAACAGAGGGTTACGTGTTTGTATCTGTTCTCTCTTCCCAGCTGTTAGTAAACACTGACAGCTAATGTTTATTCATTTCTCGACACCGAGATGATTTATTTTAAGTTTATGTCTGTACTGGACATAAGCGTGTGCTTCCTCAGTAAACATGTTTGTGGAAAGACAGGACTTCAGTCATCAGCTGTTAGTAGTCCATAATAACAGTGGCTAGAATTAAAACTTGATTTAGTGTCACTGACAAATACAATACAGGATCTCAAAAGCTTAAACACAGACACTAGAACCATGCTGGAGCCACTCACCTCTGCGTGTTGGTGGACGGGGAGTTCTTCAGCCTATTGGAGTGCATTGATGGGGCTCCCAGGACTACAGAACAGGGTGGAGTGATGAGCTGGTGTGGACTGCCGGTGTGTGCGAGCGGCGCCTTTGCGCGCACGTTCCTGGAGCCAGGAACAGGATTCCCGATGTTTGAGAGGTTTCCACGACCGTCCTTGGCCTCCTCTCGCTCTTTCTTGCCTCGCTCCTTCTTGTTGAAATGTGTCGCTGCTGTACCTGCCGCCGCTGGCCTCTCCTCTTGGACCTCCAACATTCTCTCTATGTCCTTGTCTGTGAAGGTGTGTGTGCGCTCGTCTCTGTATGTTTGTGTGCGTGTGTGTATGTGTGTGTAATGCGAGAGAAAGTGTGTAAAAACAATAACAAGAGTCCAGGAGTCTTTTCTTGTTCGCTGTGTATTTATGAAACTCCCCCAAGGGGGCTTTCAGCGGCCCTTGGGCACACTGTGAAGAGAGAGAGAGGAAAAATAACAGTTAAAAAACTGGAAAGCGGGCCAAGTCTGAAAAAGTGACACCAACCCAAAATCTTTTTAGCATCATCTATTTGTGTGGGCTTGAAAGGTGGTTGTTAAAAGTAGTTTTCTCTTTCACAGTAACTTCGGTCAGATTCAATTCATAGCCGGAGAATGGATTCACATTTTGATAATTTCCTAACTACCTTTACTATACTATCGAATAGAAAGAAACATTGTTCTATAGCATTACAATTATGACAGAAACTCCTGCAGCATTATCTCAATCTACACCGTTTTGGCAAAAAAAGGTTTGTAACATACTGCCATACTGTTTTATAGAGCTCCACTGCTAACATTGTTGAAACAATCTTAGTTTGTAGTTTATATTTTGGGTAAAAAGTCACAAGACAAGAAATTGTCTATTCAAGTGATGAACAGAGAGCACCATAGTTTCTTCAAAAAATGTATCTAAAGGGCTCCTTTTGGAAATAATAGTTTTATTGTGTATATAAAAAGATGACTATTGGTTGATATTATCATCAGATTTTAAACCTCTAAAATATCAACACTGGTAATGGCCTGACATCTGTAACCAATCATTTGTCAGGTTTTTTGTTTTTGATACTTTACAGGCTTTGGGTGTGATATTGCATACATTATATAAATACCAGCACTAAAATGCAACTGTAGCAAACAGTGAAGTGTGTTGGAGGAATGGGGGAGGTAGTATGGCGGTCTCAACTACCACTGTGTGTGTGTGTGTGTGTGTGTGTGTGTGTGTGTGTGTGTGTGTGTGTGTGTGTGTGTGTGTGTGTGTGTGTGTGTGTGTGTGTGTGTGTGAGAATTGCATGAGAATCCTGTTTTAGAGAGCAGCCCAGTCAGTCAGATTACATTGTCATCCTGAAAATATTTAGGAGCTCTTCCAAAAACACTCAACATTGTAACTGGCTCCAGAGTTGCCCTGGGGAGAAGGAAGGGGGGAGGGAGGGGGGGGTGAAGGGGGGCGTCACTGGGAACCAGACAGCATACACAGACTCCTGCTACAGCAGCAACACTCGTCTCTCGCTGGGCTACAGGAGGAGTGATTTACAACTCTCAGGGCCCTCAGATCACTTCTGCACGCGAGCAGAGGCCGGCTTTTACCACGAAGGAAAGAGGAGGGGGGGGGGGGGGGGGGTACAGAGGAGCCTTGTGTCTCCAAATTACACTGATTAGACTAACCTTTAAATATAAGAATAGACTTTCTGACACAGCAGTTAGGGCTTTTCAGAGAAGCAATGGGCTGACTATTGATTGCTAGACTTTGATTTGACTCCGTGTTTATTTACAAAAGAACTGCTTGAAAAACCTCTGTTCTGGTGAAACCACTTTTTTGCATGCTTTGAACAAAACTGTGGAAACAACGGCCGCAACACAAATCAGATAATCTTCAGCAGTGATGTGCAGCACATTGAGATCAACAGACATTCCACGCGAGGGCTCAAACTATGGACCGGGTTTAAATGTTCAAAAGTTAGTGTCTAAATAACTTCCTACCATCAGCAGAGCAGAGGCATTTTACTAACCTCAGATCAGTACGATGTTGGTAGTTAGAGCAACATTTCGAAGTAGGACAGGGAGTGAGGGAAGATGTGATGAGAAAGTGGAAAAAAACTGCTATAACACTGTCCCTAAGTGCTCAGTAATATCACACAATTGCTTATAGTTGTGCTTTTAAATTGAGAGAATCATTTAGTGTACATAAAGACCAGGGCATGCAACAAAGTAGTCCACGTCAGGGGAAAAACATTTCTATAGCTATTCCAACGGCTTCATTAGAAAGGAGGGGCGAAAGACTTGTCAACAAGGAGATGTGGATTGACATATTTTTATCAAGGGCCTTGAACGAGTCTTACTCATTTTCACAAACTTAAAATAATGTGTTAAGAACTAAAACAGAGAGATCAAGACATAAGATAAAATCCTTCTTACTTTAAGAGGGTGTGAACATAGGATTTTTTTATTTCCACTATTTGCAGAAGGCAACCATTTTTATTCCAACATCAAAAAAGGTCTGCGGGATAGTTTCAGATGCTGTTTGACCATGTGAAAAGCACATTGTTTGAAGCATAGTGCCATGATGGTTCTAGGTGTTTTGTCAAGCCTGCTGTGGTTAATGTGGCTGGGCAGTGACCAGGATGAAGCACCACAGGGGGCCTTGAGACATGATGGCGGCCCGTTGAAATCCGACGAAAATATACTCAGTTAACTAAAGGAGATCGCAGAGAACCAGCCTCCTCCCTAATTCAGCCCTTACTATCATGTTTGCCCTCAAGGGGTGGTTGTTATCTAAAGCCAAACCTGAATCGTACACAAATACGTATAATGTGAGAATGTACACGCATGCAGACGCAAACAGCAGGACCTGTCAATCACGCGTTCCCTCCAATCACACGCTAACGAGACACTAATTGGGGAGCTTGCCGACATGACTGTCATAAGTAACGCACTGACACACAGACACATCAGACGTGCACACTACAGCCCACTGAGCGCACACACACACACAACAAAACTGCGTAGAGGTAATCACAGAGATTTCTCTTCTTCTATCTCCTGAAAAGAAGCTGACCTGTCTATCACGGCACACACGAGGCGCTGCAGTGCATGCTAGTTAATGGGAAAACGGTATAATGAGGCTCTAAAAATGAGCTTCTTGCCTCTGATATAAATACGAGGTTCCACATGAAAAGAGGGCAGAAAATAGTTCAATTCAATTAGATTTGGGTTTTTGCATTGCAGGTGGCATTTAAAGAGAGCATTTCATTTCATGCTTATGTAACAGTCGTCGTCCGCTGGCTGAGTCCAGTGTGGAGTAGACCTGCTACGTCACCCAAATTCCTCCGAACGGGAGATGGGAGGCGTTTCAGTAAAGTATCACTGGTACGGTAAGTGAAGGTGTGTGAATAAGAGGAACGTTGACCATGCTGGAAACAAAATCCACTTGAATTTAATCTTTGAATGCATTAATAGTACAAAGACTTTATTTAAAAATGATAGGGAAAACACACAAGTGCAAACACGCACTAACTCAGTCCTGCTGTTGGCTGTAAAAGGGCCTGCTGATGTTTCAGCCTTATTTATGCAAATCCCATTTTGCAGTTCAGTCACAATGGAGTGTTGCTCTCTCTCGCTCTCTTGCTCCCCTACGCGCTCTCCGTCTGCTCGGCGTCCATTTCAAGAATTTAGTCCATTATTTGTTTAGGCCTACATCAGACACATTATTTCCACTTCCCCTCACAGTTTTCTGCAAGAATATACAAAAACGCACAGCCCATCAGCCAGGAACCATGCAGTCTGGGGAAGCAGCAGCCAACTCTCTCATACAAAAGCCTTTCAATCGATTTACACAAGGCACAACTTATGTGCACCCAATATTCATTCAAACCAAATGACGACGTATGAAGTCTCGAGTCAAAGGTTTTGCAACAAAAACCAATGAAAAGTGGATGATTGGTCTGTACTCCAATATGTTTTAACATGTGTTAAAAAGCATCCACAGGTGGTAATAATTAGATAATGGTACATTGAAATGTGTACTTTGAAAAGAATCCTCCCTCATCAGTATCTTGAGAGCAACGTGATCAAAAGCAGGAGACAAAACTGTTTAGTATTCCCACGAGACACTACAGTGTTTGCTTTTCATTTCACTCGTGATATGAATCATGCATTATACCTAATGAAGGTCTAAAATGCCTCAATAAAGTGAGCACAATTGACCAACACTGTGTCGGACAATTTGGTCCTTCGTTTTATACTGAATATAAAACCTTCTGGTGTGCAGGAACTACTTTTTCTGTATTTTAAGAGAGCCGAGTAATAAAGTCAGTTATATGAAGATAGCAAACATTAGTGACTGGTTGTACCTGAACAAACACGGGCATCACACGCATAGCATATTGAATTGAGGATGAGTATGTCTGACTGTCTATCTATGTATTAAACATTTCATTTGGATGAGAATTAATGTGCTACTTCTTTCTTCTTGAAGTTGCAGAGGCTAGCATCATCTTGATTATTATTACACCAGTGCCAAAACTTTTTTATTTTCTCAGTTATTGCTTTGGTAAAAACATATTGCTTTAACAGCTAATAAGATAATAGCAATCCATTATTTATTGTGCAGGTATAAATCAAGTAAAAAGCCCAGTTTTTCCGTGTGCATAACCAGTTTCTACACATACCTTTCGGGCTGCTAGTGAAGAAGTAACTGCAGAAAGCAATACACTAGTGCAAAAAACACAGACTTCTGCTGCCCTCCAAGCAAAGCTTTGCAAGACATCCCACAGCGCCCTGGCTGAGGAAACACCTGCATGCTCACCTGTTGGGGGGGGCTCCCTGAGAGCACTATCACATGCCACACCCTGCAGATAGCACACATGACTCACGCTCGGTACATACAGAATGTCAGGAATGCCAAATGTCACTAAAGATAGAGCTGTGACGCCACAGATGTAACATTTCACATGATTTATCTACCATGACAGGCAAGGCCGCTCAAACAGGAACAGCACGAGTAATGACGAGTTCCAAGCCGCGCAAATATTAGCAATTAAAATGTTCACATTGAACTGCACACAAAGTACAAAAAGTACATATCCACACAGGTTTTCTCTTCTACTCACCTGGGTATGTTTTAGCATTCTCAAGATACATTTTGTGAGGATATTGTAGGGTGGATAGTTGGTGCCATCAAACATTTTTACACAATGAGAATTTTGATACACAATGTGGATTTCATAATATATGCAAAGGTAAAGGCTGATTGTAAAACTGAGACAGTGTGGTGAGTTCAGAAAATGACATCACTTTACTACAATGCAGCATTTAAAACTATGAAGGGATAAATCTTGTCTCATATCACGACAGATAAAATATGGATATATTGTCGCCCTACCCTTCACTCAATCGGTTACCCCCAGTTTCAGCCGTCTTCCCGCTGGTCTTTCT